GTATCTGCATCTCTTCCCACTTGGGAAGATAATGATTAAGAAGCATGTCACTTGTCAGTTCACCTTGCTCAGCTGAAGCCCAGTGTCCCAGGATAATGTCCAACTTTATCTTGTACCAGGGTACTTGTGTTGGGTTAAGCAACCTTGATCATAATCAATTCTATAAATTGATGAGTTACCCTGACCGCCCCCCGCCAAAAAAAAATCAACACTCAACCATGTCATACATCTTTCCCTCATTTTACCTCATTCTCTTTTTCTAGAATCTCCCATTGGTCCAACTGCCCTCTGTAGCATTATCTTAAGAAAGCCAAAACCATCAGCCACTGCCAAGTGTTGGCAGCATCTCATCTCAAATGCTTTCACAATTCCTCTTTAATTGCAAGAATGTGTGAAGACATCACATCAGTAAGACAAAGGTCATTTTGCAAGGAGTGGTAAAAGTTTCACATGGAACCAGTCACCACACTTCTGTGGCCTCCAAACAATGAAATAGTGTTTGGGAATGGCTGGCACATTGATGGGTCACTATGGGGATACCATGATGGCCTTGACCTTCTTAGCAACAGGACTGAGGTAGCTCACAGAGACGGGTGCTCTTCTTTATTCAAAAAGAAAAAAAGGGGCACATTAAAACACTGAGTTCTACGCCCTACCATAATGACAAAAAATAAAAAGTGACAATATCAAGTAATGGTGAGGATACAGGGTGACCAAAGCCCTCATACCTGTGGATAGATGTTATTGGCTCAGTTGTAGCCCCGCCCCAATTTCTATCCTGAAGTCCTAACTCCCAGCAACTCAGAATATGACTATATTTGGAGGTAGGGTTTTTAAGAGATGATTGAGTCAAAATGAGATCATTGGGGGTGGGTCTAAATCCAACAGGACTGGTGCCCCCTGATAAGAAGAGACTAGGATGCACACATATGCAGAGGGAAGATCTTGCCAAGCCACAGGAGATGATGGCTACCTACAAGCCATGGAGAGAGACCTCAGATGAAGCCAATCCTGTTGAAATCTGATCTCAGATGTCAAGCCTCCAGAACTATGAAGCAGTAAATTTCTGTACTTTAAGTACCCCCCCAGTCTGTGTTGTGTTGTTACAACAGTCCTAGCAAACTAATGTAATGGGGATGCAAAAGAGTCCAACCCCTTTAGAAAACAGTTTGCCATTTTTTATCAAGTAACCATATATTAACAACATAACCCAGAAATGCCAATCCTAGGTATTTATACAGAAGAAATTAAAACATGTCTACATGAAGAACTAAAAATGAATATGTATGGCATAATTCTTTATGATAGCCCAAACTACTGAGCCCAAATGTCCATTGAATGGTGGATTAATAAACAAATGGGGGGCCTCCCCTGGTGGCGCAGAGGTTGAGCATTGGGCTGCAAAGCTGCCCATGGCCTCTGCAGCACCGGTTCATTCCCGGGCTGCTGGGTGAGGGTCCCACATGGCGTGCAGACCTCTCCTGCCACCCGCTGCTCCCCTCAGCAGTGTACTTCTTTGTCAGTCTGCCTGTTCTGCTCCCTGTTCTGGCTCTGGTGAATTCTCTCACCCTCCCTCACTTCTGACTGTATCCGGTGCTTGTATAAATAAACAAATAAATCTCCTTAAAAAAATAAATAAATAAACAAATGGGGGGTAAACAATGGAATACTACACAGCCATGAAAAGGAGAAAATCATGGGTGCACACAACTGTGTGGATAGAGCACAAAAGTATTTGTTGTATTAAGTGAAAGGAGTCGGACACCAAGGATCACATGATATGATCTGCATTTCTGTGACATCCTGGAAAAGTTAAATCTAAGCAAGCAGAAACAAATCAGTGGTTTCCAGGGACTAAAGAGGGGATAAGGGAATGAATCACTAAGGGACATGAGGGAACACTTCTGGGTGAAGAAAATGTCCTATTTCTTCATCACAGGGATGGTTACACATCACATTCATCTGACTGCATCCTCAGTAGGGTAAATTTACAACAAACCACTAGGCATTAATTATATTGCAATAAATGTTAAAAAAATAATAATGAGCTACTCTTCTTTGCCTAAAGGGCAAAACATTTTAAATTAACATCTAACATCAGTGAAGATGCAAGAAAACAATTACTTCCATGCACTCCTATTGGAAGTTTAAGTTAGGAAAGTCTTGAAAGCAAATTGGCAGTTGTCTAGCAAAATATACACTAGTCCTATCTTTTATCCCAGCATTGCCACCTCTGAGAATACATCCTGCAAAACTACTCAGATGTGTACAAATATGTTTATCATGGCCAAAAATTAAAAGCAACTCATGAGGAAAATCCCTCCCAGAAACAGAAGCTCGGGGCCTCCCTGGTGGCACAAGGGGTTAAGACGCAACATATGAAGCAACCTGTAGCCACTGTAGCATGAGTTCGATCCCCAGCCAGGAAAGCTACCCACATGTTGCAGCAGACCTCTCCTGTCTCACCCGCTGCTCCCCCTCAGCAGTGTACTTCGTCAGTCTGCCTGTTCTGCTCCTTGCTCTGTCTCTGGTGAATCCTCTCACCCACCACACCTATGGCCTGTACCCCAGCTCTTGTATGTGTAAATAAATAAATCTTTAAGAAAAGAAAAGAAAAAGAAACAGAAGCTCAAAGATGGGTCCCCAACTGCTGATACCATTACCTTCGAGGAGCACAAGTGGAGGCAGGGGTTGGGGGGTTAAAGGGAAAGTCTGTACATTTGACTCCATATCTTTCTATATTATTGAGTCTTTTGTACCAAGAATGAATTCACAAGTCATACAATATTTTTTTAAACCCTGGGGCCAGAACCCCCAATTTCACAAATTGGGGGATCCTCTTGAATAGTCTGGTCTTTTTTCTGTGATCAATGCATTGATTGTTCCCAGAAAATTAATTTGTTGCGATGGGTACAAAGCATTCATTTAGTTCAGCAGATGTGAAGCAAATAAATTCTTTTTTTCTTTTAATGCCAGGTTCTACTAGTACAAGATGTCACCCAAATAATAACAGCAAGGGTCCTAAGAGTAAAAGAAATTGGCTGACTGCACTTGAGTGCAGGCCCAATGATGAAGCGCTTCATAGGCTTAGGAAGGTTTTTCTCTGAGTCGGCCCAGTGACAAGAACAAAGTAAGGACGAGCAGAGGATGGAGAAGCTTGGGACCATTTATGTCGTGGAGAAGGGATTCGAAATGCTCAGGGGGAGAGCAGGTAGATTGATGTCTGATCCAGGTTTCCCTGACCTTAGAGGGTAAATATAAAACAAATCAACTTCAATTACAGTGAAAAACACTGAGTTCCTTTGGAATGAGACTGTGATCCGGGACTTTGACTTCGCAAATATCTGATGTGCTTGCAACACTAGGTCTCTGTCGCCGGAGAAACACATGCAGCACGGGCTGACCGCGAGCCTGGCTGTCCTGAGGGCCCCCACTCCTGGAGGGGAACAGTGAGACCTGGCTGAACTACCTTGAGTCACTGGGAAGCGAGTAAGTCCCGGCATCACCATCTTTCCCTGGGGCCACTCTTCCTCCTGAGGGAGAGAATTCTGTCTCACTCTCGGGGGCCTGCTGAATTTCTCCAGGTGAAGGTGCTAGGAGTGGTGATCGCATTGAACTATTTCTTAGTAGTTTTGAGGTGGACGTGGAAAACCACCAGAAAAATGCCAACTCACAGTGGAAGTTTCTCACGATGAACCCGTGGGCATTGTCGTGACTTTGCCAAACCTGGTGATTAGTTTCTATCTTCGTATGGGACGGGGGTGGAGAGGGATTCAGTTAAGTTAGAGACCAGAAAAATGTTTCCTATAAAGGGTAGGAAAGCAATATGTCAGGCTCTGTGGCGCCTGCGGTCAGTCTCTGTCACATTCATAGAGTACATATATGAATGAACGTGACCATGTTCTAATGAAACCTTTTTAATGATGCTGAGGTTTGAGCTTCATGTAAATGTTATATGTCACTAATTATTAATCTGTTTTTGTTTTGTTTTTCAACCACTAGAAAAGGTAAAACCCATTCTGATCAAGTCAAAAGAAGCGGCAGACTTGGATTTGGCTCATGGCTCTAATTAACCAATCTCTGCACTAAATCATCTTGTTACTTCATTCATGCCTTTTTATAATCACCATATTTCTATTTGGAAACCTCCCTCTTACCACATGCAATATCAGAACAGGTAGACAGATAGATACACCATAGAAAATTGATGATTGATAGGTGACAGATAATTAAGTTTGTTTTTAAGCAAAAGAAATGGCTGTTCTCCATTTGGGGTATTAGAAGGTAAGCACCTTACAGGGCAGGTTTACCATTGTACCCGCAAGTGGTGTGAAGGTTATTACATGCCTATGAGGTAAATAATCAAATAAAGGTCAAAGGAGAGGGGAATGTGGTTTCCATCTCAAGTTTTAGCAACACTCTGTCTCCAAACCAGAAGACAGGAAGAGGCCAGGTGTCAAAAACAGAAAGATTAAGTGAGATTAAGACAATGAAGGTGAATTGCTGGTGGTTTGTCAGACAGGGTGTATTGCAACATCAGAGCTCTGATGCAGCACCAGCCCAAGATGAAAGTCTGAAAAATTATCACAAAGGAAGGACGTGTTTGGATTGGTCTTAGAAATAAAGAAGCCATCCAAGATCGGGGGAGGGGGAGAAAGAGCAGTATTTCTAAGGGAATAAAACCCCCAATTAGAGTGGTTAGGAACTGAAGCCCAATTACAGTGGCTTCAACTCTTTGGATTTTACTTCTCCACTCATAAAAGTATTCCTAACGTGGATAATCAAGGACTATATGGCAAGTCCATGAAGTTTGCAGAGAGGAAGAGACAGGCACCTTCTATCTTTTTCCTACACCTGAATTGTCTTATTGTTTAAGGTAGCTGCTGGAGCTCCACCATCACATAAACACTCCAGGTTGCAGGTGCAGAAATGAGGAGGTGGGTAGATGAGTCAGTTTTCTTAATCCATCTTCCCAAGGCTTCATGCACATTTCCACTTACCCATTAATGATCAAAACGCAGTCATTTGAATATCCTCAACTGCAAGGGAAGTTCAGAAACAACTTTTTAGTTGCTGCATTGCTGTCCACATCAAATCAGGGCTATTTCTAAGGAAATGGAAAAGATATTGTCAGGGGAAGTAGCCATATCTGTCTTAGCAATGACTAGCCGTTTAATTAATTCACTGATCCATACATTATAGGGTTGTCATACTTGCCAGACAGGGTTAGAGCAGAAAACAAGTCATCTTTCTCATGAAGCCTACGTTCCAGCAGAGAAGAGAGACATGACATAGAATCGTGTGTAATGAAGCTCTCAAAAGAACAGGATACCACTGGAGCGTGTAACTGGGTGACCTAGTCCAGGGTGGACAAACTTTGTCTTCACAGGGCTAGATAACATTTTTTAAGCCTTGTGTGCCATTTGGTGTCTGTCTCAACTACTGAACTCTGTCCTAGCATGAGCAACCACAGGGAACTTGTAAATGGACAAGCATATTCTATTGCAATAAAACTTTATTTATAAAGCAGAGGGTGGGCCAGATTTGGCCCACAGATGATAATTTGGTGACCCCTGATCTAAGTTCATGTGAGAAGTTGGATTTCTGCTGAAGGAATGCTTTGTTAAAATGAGACATGAAAGGTGATCAGAAATTTATTTTAAAGAAAGGAGCAGGACTGATAAGGAATGTTCTGGGCAAAGGGTGGCTCATTTCAAAGACCTAGTACAAGACAGAGCAAAGCTCACTCAAGGAATTTAAAAGAACCGAACCCTACCCCTAATCCCCGGATGGAACAAAAAAAGCAAGAGGAAGAGTGATAAAGGATGAGTTGGGAGATTGAAGCCAGAGCTTATCAAAAAGGCAATAGTGACTGAGCTTTTAATAAGTAACATGATTAGAGCTTCATATTTTAAGTTCATTCTGGCTGTTGGATAGGGTGAAATTATGGACAAGTTCAAGGACAGAGTGAGACATTTGCCAGTGGCTAAATGAAAAAAAAAAAAAAAAAGAGCTGGTTTCTCACCACACCTTTTACAAAAAATGGATGACATCTGTCCTGACACTGACCACTTCTCCAAATCTCCAGGACACCAAGTCAGCACCTTATAATTCATTCATTTCAATTTCAACACTAATTACCTGGACTTGGTGTCATTTTCCCCAGGCTTAGGGGCTCGGTACCCAAAACTATCCTTACTTGTCGGGTCCCCAGAGTATCCACACTGCCCAACTGGGCTACAAATCAGGAAATCTCATGTGCCCATATCCCCTGCCACCCCCATTCAGTCAGTTTGCTCCAGACCTTACAGAAGCAATGTAGTTATAGTACCTGCTTTGATAAAAGATGCAACTCAGTAGCACCCACATGGAAGAGATGCATAAGACAAGGTTTGGGATGGGGGTTCTCATACCCCATGCCCTCTCAAGGGGTGCCAGTCTCCCTCTTCAATGTCCACACCAACCCAAAAGCAATCCAAACCCCATTGTTGAAGTATTTTGGGGAGGTTCATTATGAAGTCACAGTTGATTGAATCATTAGTCATTGGCGATCAGCTAGTTCCCAAAGGTGAAGTGGGAAGAGACAGAAAGTTCCAAGCAGCTAGTGACGCCTGGGTCCCTTCTGGCTGCCACCCCCATTCTGAAGCTACCTAGGGGCCCCTCACTATCAGTCATCTCATTAGTATGCAACAGACAATCCTAGCTCCAGACATTGCAAGGATTTTGGAAGCTGTGAGCCAAAAACCTGGGACAAAGATCAAGTATTTATTTTTATATCACAGTTGGTAAATCAATAGACAACCTAGGCCATCTCATAAATTCCTGGAGGGAGAGTAAGTGTGTATCACACCTTGGAAACTGGCCATTTCCACTAGAGCTGCAGACACTCCCGCCTGAGAGCCACACTTAACTCCCAGGTGGATGCACAAGAGAAATGCCAAAAGACACCGTGTTTGAAATAGTCACCGACTAGAAATAACCCAAACGCCCAGTCAGAGCAGGGTGGATAAATAAATAGGGTTATCCTTACATGCTGCTGTCAAATGTGGCGTGGGGGACGATGAGGCCGCAGCCTGGTGCAGTAACGTAGATGAATTTCACAAACAGGAGACATGCTGAAAGAAAGAAGCCAGACGCAGGGAGCACAGTTCTGCAGGGATGTGGTAGACACAGACCTGAAAATCTCAGAACCACAGGGCTTGTGGGGGACATGCATAGAGGGGGCTGGGGGCAACACTCAAAAACTTTGTTGGGGGCACATTAAAAATATAGGAAACTAATAAAAATGGTAGCACTATTGTGCACATGTTGGGTGATGGAACGCGTAAGGATACAATAAACATGGCGCCTTGGATGAGTCTGGAGCTGGCTGGTGGATGGGGCGTCCTAAGGGCAGAGCATGGGGTTCCTCGAGGCAGAACCAGGCAATAAGAAGACAGTGGCCTCTATCAAAAAGACTGGAAACAGAGAGCATTGGCACTGGTGTGGAGAAACAGGAGCTCTCTTTCACCGTTGGTGGGAAAGCAAATTGGTGCAGCCACTATGGGAAAAGTAGAGAGACTCCTGGAAAGGTGGAAGATAGAAATATCATCTGATCCAGTGATCCCACTGCTGACTATTTATCCAAAGAATATGAAACTAACATGAAAAGATTTATGCACCCCCACATTCACAACAGCATTATTCACAAGGGCCAAGACGTGGAACCAACCTAAATGCCCATCAATGGATGAGTGGATAAAGGAATTTTGGTGCATATACACAATGGAATACTACTCAGCTAGTAAAAATGAAATGGAAGGGCCTTGAGTTGCTGATGCTTGGTGAAGTAAGTCAGAAAATGAAAGACAGTTACCAGATGGCTTCGCTCATTTGTGGAACAGAAACAACCCACAAAGATAACTCTTAGACTGAAAACTGTGGTGGTGACCAATGGGAAGTGAGAAGAGCACAGAGAAGGAAGGGATACAGCAGTGGCCCTGGAGCTCTGGTGGAAGGTAAGTGAGCCACATGTGCATGTGGAGCATGAGGTTGTAATTCTGTGCTTCAGTAGTTATGTAAATGATTGGCAGATCAATAAAATTTGATTAAAATAATGATGATGGCAGTGGTGATGGCAATAATGAAAGACAAAAAGACCTACTAGGAAGTTGTTCTCTTCTTCTATCGATAGAAAAGAGGGTGGTCGCCTGGACTGGGGTGTAGGCAGAGGCTTCGAGATGCCCTGATTTAACAGGCATGAGGAGAACAGAAATTAAGAGTCCAGGGTTACTCCCAAGGCTGTCTCTGGGGTGAGGGACTGGCCTGACCCCAGGAAGGCAAGTCCCCACCTGGACTTTACAAACCCCCCTTCGTGTTTCATTTCCATCCTGTTTTCCTGTCACTTTGGACAAAACAGACCCTCGTGGGACCCATAGGACTACATCACTAAGAAACACCCAGAAAGTTCTTTCATGGATCTCTGGGGCCTGTCTCCTTTCTGGAAGCAGAACAGTGGCGCAGTAATGTGCTCTTACGAATGTGTCTTCACGGTGTCTCTGCTAAGGAGGCCGTGATGGTCTGGGGCATGATAGCAGCCCAGCAAGAGGTCCTGAACACAGGCAGAATGGCACCCGTCTGTATTTCTTTCTCCATCATTAAAAAGACAACCTCCTTGGGCCTCCCTGGTGGCGCAGGGGTTAAGTCTCACCGGTCTCAAGCTATCCGCAGCCACACTGCAGCACGAGTTCAATCCCCGGGCAGGTTGCTGACCCACATGGTGCAGCAGACCTCTCCTGACTCACCCACTGCTCCCCTCAGCAGTGGATTTCAGTCACTGTGCCTATTCTGCACCCCACTGTCTCTGGCGAATCCTCTCACCCCCTACCCCTACCCCCTGCACCTCTGGCCTGCACCCCAGCTCTTGTATGCATAAATAAATAAAAATAAATCTTAAAAAAAAAAAGACAACTTCCTCATCTGCCTATCCCCATGTGGTAAATAATTCCGAACACAAAGTTTTAAAGTAGGAAACTTATAAAGGAGGACAAGAAATCCAAACTCAGGTTATGGACTCTGATGACTTACTGCTCCCAGCTTTGGGCTCAGGAAGAGCTATGTTTTAGTGAGTGTTAGCAGCATCTGCTGTTATTGTCCGTCCTATGTTAGGGAAAACTCTGCAAAGAGCCAGGGTCAACCTCTCAGTCTCCTTCTCTTTGGGGAAAATAAGCGAGTTAGTCAACGAGCTGTGGGCAGCTGAGCTGCCTCTTCGCCGGTGCACTTGGAGGCTGAGCTGCTTTAATGGCAACCCCCCGGGGGCCCAGGACTTATCTCCCTTATCTCTTGTAAGGGGCTGAACAGACTCTGGGTATTCAACAAGTAATAAATAACACTATATTAAATATCAATAGCATGTGCAGTCTTCTTGGGAAAAGCCGATTCTGATAAAATCAAGGCCCAACCATCACCCAAGCCTTGGATTTCATCCAAACAGGACCTCGTGGGGAAATGTGGTGAAAATCGAGAGGAGGGTGTGTTCTTGGCTTTCCTCTGTCCGCACGGATGACCCTACGAGGAGGAAGACAAGGGCTTTCTGGAGCAATGGAAGGATCTTATTTCTTTTTACATATCACCCACGATTCCCCAGGTTTGCCACTTAATTGCCTTCCATTAATATCTGTGGAATAAGTAATGGTAAGAGCTGATATTTAGGAAGTGATAATATTATGACAGTTTTCCATGGAGTATCTCATAAAACAGCGGGTGGGGGTAGGGGGAGGATCTATTCCTAGTCCTAGTTTACAGATGGAGAAAATGAAGTTTCGCTTACCTGCTCAAGTCACCCAGTTGGTGAGTGTTTGAGCAGGATTCTAACCCAGTTCAGAAACACCCTGTTACCTCCCAACATCAAATGTCTCCTGGATTGCATGTCTACCTTTGTGCCTGGTTTAGACAAAAGGGAAGGAATTATTGAAACTCAAAAGGAAGAAAACCTTGCCAGTGATTCTTGAGTGGCTGAGCCTCAGCGAAAATGGTAGATGCTATATATATATCCCAACTCTTTGACCCTGAAGAGAACCAACCTCTTAATGGCACAGAAACATGGGACTGGGCATTGAAAAGAACTTC